CTGAGGAGCGGGGAATTCCGGCCGCGGGTCACCGAGAGGGGCCTCCTCCTCCTGCGTCTCGCCCGCCCGCCCGCCCACGAAGCTTCTCCGACCTGTCTTTGCCCCAAAGAGCCGGTTGCAAGTCGGATTTCGCGGCTTCGACTCCGCGCCGGTGGAATGGGCACCACCCGAGACCCTGTTTCATTGACTCATCACAGTTAATCCCCTGCGAGAATGCAAAGCGCTCCCGTCGGTGGGAGCTCTGTTGTGTGCCAACCACTGTTTTCCCACCGACGCCCACACGCGCTTACAAAGGGGAATTAAGGTCCAGAGAACTTGGAAAACATCTCCCAAGTGGCATATCGGCCCGTGGATCCGAACAGTTAATAAAGCCTCAGCAGATAATATGGTCCTCAAATTGTTGAGTAAATTAAAGCACTAAGAAAAAAAAAATGGTACAGTTGAAATAACTCATTAGCAAGATTCTCCCTAAAGCCAGTAAGGCGTGGGATATTCCTCAACTAGTTGAGCGAAGGTGGTAAACCTCATCTTTCCGTGAGTGGAGGAAGTCTTTTGAAAGGTATCCTGCATTCAGGGTCTGAAATCAAAAACTCATTAAGAATTTTTAATTTATTTGCATAGTTTTTTAAAAGCTACACAACAGAGCAAAAGGAAGGCAAACTTTGTCCACCAAAGCCAAGGGAGTCAGTAGGCTTGTGGGGTCACTTCTATCAAAAAGGATGTTTGCTCTGTTACTACTTAATTTGAGGTGTTCCATGAATATTAGTGATCACATAATACCGGATAAGTGCTAAAGCAGTAGGAGAGCTGACATTTCTGGAAAAAGAGGAGTAGAATTGTGACGGAACCAAAAGTAGAGCTAGTCACTATTGAAAATCCTGAGACAATGAGAAATGCGCATTTTCATGAAGATGAATCCTTGGATAGTAATGACAGTTGTGAAGATGAAAGGCAAATTATGCAACAGGTAAAATGTGATGTGCCTATGCTCTTGACAGCAAGAGACTGGAAAAGTGATTGATGGAATGAAAAAGCTTTTAAGTATGATGCAAGAGACTAAGCTTCTAAGTCAGGTGCCTACTAACATAATCTTAAGTCACATAAGATCAAGTGTTTGTTCTAGAACTAAAGTTTAGGATGGTAAAATATATGTCTGGGGGAAAGCATGGCTCCATGGGTCCAAAGCACCAAATATTCATAATATCTGTGAATTATGGGGCACAAAATTGCTAAAGGCTTCCTTACAACACTTGATGAGATTATCTAGGAATTAACCTACCCTCAATTTCAAAGTACACAAAACGTCTATTTTAGAAAACGATACCATAAAACATACATTTGTTCTCTGAACTCTTGAGAGGAGATGCTCATGTATCTTGGTTCCAGAAAAGCCAAGTCTTTGCTGGAGGATTATTTAAGGATATGCATTCTCAGCACAGTTAAAGTGCCCATAATACCCAAAGCAATTTACAGATTTAATGGAAGTCCCATCAGAATCCCAATGGCATTTTTAAAAGAAATAGAAGAAAAAAAAATCATGAAATTTGTATGGAACCACAAAAGGTCCTGAATAAATAAAGCAATCCTGAGAAAAAAAGAACAAAGCTGGAGCTATTCACACTTCCTGACTTCAAATTATACTACAAAGTGACAATAATCAAAACAGCATGATATTGGCAGAAAACAGACATACAGGCCAATGGAACAGAATTGAGAGCCTAGATATAAACCTTCATAAATGTTGGCAAATAATTTTCAACGAAGAAGCCAAAAATATACAATTGGGAAAAGAAATCCTCTTCAATAAGTGGTGCCAGGGAAAGCCACATGCAAAAAAATGAAACTAGACTGCTGTTGATCACCATACAC